GAAAGCTGTAAGATAAAAAGATGGAGAAGTGTAGCTTTTCCTCAGCGTGATCATCATCATTACTGACTGACTCAGGGAACATAAAGGTTACTAAAATATTTGCCTCAGTGCTACTTGAGACAGAATTCAACGGGCAAGTCACAGTATACAGCTGCAAGAACAGTCCAGCAGCTCTGATTCAAAGGGAGGAAAAAGGTGCAGATCTCTCTCTGATACTGCTAGTCTCGTGATTCCCCCAGAATCTACTTTAAGATTTGGATTTAAGGTTCTAGAGATCATTGAAACAGCAATTAATTTTGTTGTACAGTGATAAAAGCAGCTTATTTAATTACATTTTACAAGATACTTTAGACAATCTTGTCTTCAAAGCAGTGTTTTCTTTTCCATTCTTTTCCAGAAAGCAGTAAATCTAGTCATGTTCTTTCATAAATTCCACGCTGTCAGATTTTTTTTTTTTTTTTTTTTTCTGTTTAGGACAAAGGTAATATTACTGAGGATATCTACTTTAAGAAAATACTGTATTTTTTGAAGTTGCTTTCAAAAGGATGTATGTACATAGCTGAAAATACATGTTCTTTTTACTTAGAAAGATATTGCATTTCTCCAGATTGGATGACTCCACACCTTTTTGCAGCAAGATTTATATTCTTGTTTAAATATTCACTAAATAGTCACTAAATCCTTCTTGTGGAGTTAATTTTGCTTTCACAAACACTCATGTAAAGTTACTGATGTATGTGCTTACCTAGATTTTGTAAGTGTACTTCTTTCTTTTGATTTTTACATATATATATATATACACACACACACACACACACACACACATATATATTTATATTTATGAACAGTGAAGACCAGATTCTGGCCTCTACAGATTTAACTGTGGACAAAACCCCCTCAGTTCTAGGTTTCTGTCACATTAACTCTGTTCCTTGTAAGTCTTTTCTAACTGAAGCCTAACCTGAGTCCAACACATGCACCCACCCTAGAGTTTTCTTTAGGTAAAGAAAGAACTGAGATTTGTAAGAATATTACTCCAGCCAACAATATTGCTCCAGCCAAGTTTTACCTCAGAAATAATTGACAAAAGTTCATAATTCCCTTAAGTACTTAATTAACTATGCAGTTCCACCAGCACTTCTCTTCTTGTTTAATAACACTATGTTCTGGCAAGACATGAATTTATCAAATCTGCACCATTAATAATAAAAAAATAGTTATTCCCAAAGCTTGATCCACTAACACTGCCACAGTCACAGCTTGTAAATGTTGGTAACTTCAAAGTGGCTAGAGCATACTGGAAAGATGAGATACCTTTTATTCAACTGAAACATTTACTGTACAATTGTTGCAAATAAATGCCTAAAATTTTAAAAGGTGAATTAGTAGGCACTAATGACACAAAGCTGCTTTCCATGTTTCAGATGTCCAAATAAAATGTAGTAAATGGACAAATAGCTGTTCCCATGATTCAGGCAAGGCTGTAAGACTGTGTTTTTCAAAAAACAACCAAAAAAGCCCACAACAAACAAACAAACAAAAAACCCCAGTGCAATATTTCCAAATCTATCAACCAGAAAGAATATTTGTTTGATCAAACTGTTACTCCCACAGTCTCAGGGTCCAAACCCAAGGAAATGTCAACCCTTAGGTAAAACATTAGCATGGTATTTACTGCTCATGGACTCACAGAGTGCACGGATGGAAGACAGAGTTAGAAACATTTTGTCTGACCTCTTACAAAACAAGAGGCAGACCACTTCCTTGGATGAATTCCTCTTTTAAGTAGAACAAAGAGGACATATACACTGGAAAGGAAATGACTGAAGAAAGCTGATGGAGGGAAGGTCTGACTCCATGAGGAGAAATGAAGACTGTTGGTTTGTATACAACCACTGTAACTTCACTGATGCTGTTTTTATCCATATCTAAAAATAATTACCTCCACCTGCAATGTTTATTACTTTACCTTTATTCTGCTCCTACCACAAAAGCAATCTGAAGAAAATAAGAATGATGCCTACAAACTACTGATTCTGAGGAGCAAATCTAATTGTGCCAAGATTCAGTAATGAAAATAACATTGAAAGCTATAAAAAATTTAAACTATTATTAAATAAATTCCACAGTACATCAAGATGCACAACTTATAAAAACAGTCTGCAGAATTTCTTACTCTGCCAAACAATGTTTTTTGGTAATTACAAGAGACTCTGACAATGCTAAATAATCATTGTTTTCTTGCAGATATTTGGCTATCAGTGTCACCGTACCCATGCCTTGGAGAGAAGAGAGTAAACAACCATGGTCAAAAGACCATATAATCAAAATCTGAACAGCAGATTACCAACCCTGAAACACACACACAAAAAAGACAAGGCAAGAGGAAAAAGCCATTAAAACATTGAAAGCAGACAGGAAAACTGTTTTAAGAGCATTTTATCTACTACAGGTACTTGATATGAAAGTGTTAAACTATCTAAATGCAATGATAGCTCCAAGTCTACTTCCACTGATGTTAAAATAAATATAATAAATAATAAAGTTATAATCTGAAGAGGAAATCCTACCACTTCAAACACTGTATTGGGAGTCTCTAGTAAAAAAAATATATCTCCTTTCCATGAAGGGTATTTCAAACTCTGCCTAGTTCACTTTCAGCAACATATTCTGCACCACGATATGACTGATCAAGAAGCTAAATGGCTTGACTAGCATTTTTGATGCTGAGCTAAAGCAAAACTTGGAATGCTCCAATTCATTTCTTGCACCCAGTCTGTACAGCCCAGTAAGGAAACAGTATCATCCTTTTCCATTAATGGGTCTTGGAGATGTATGGAGTACATGGTAAGACTATAGGCTGAAGGTTATGGAACACTGTGAGTGGATCAAAAGCTACCATGTCTCAGAAAGGCAAATGTGTTCAAGAGAAGAAGATTTGGAAGGATGGAGCAAAAGGTGAGGGAAAAGAAACAAAAAGTGAAAGCAGGGGAAAAAAGAACTGAGAGTATAGCACAAAGCAGAAGAAATCAAAAGCAGTGGTGGGAAGGGAGGCAAGGGGAAGAATTGCTCAGGAGTGGAATGAGAATGATGGGAAATAATGATTTGCTCAGCAAGACACAGCAGACATTAGTAACCCACACAGTAAAATGGAAAAGGAGAGGTCAGGGAAAAATTGGCATCAAAGATACATAACAATAGATTTTTGTTTTGCATCATGCAGTACATCTTCTACCATGTTTTAATGTTAAAATTCAGATGACAAATGCTTATTTTGTGTGTGTGTATATATATACATATGTATACGTATACATATACATAAATTACACACACATACATTCAGTATGGTTAACATGATCCAGCTCCCATCTGGACTACATTTCCTGAGGGAATGCGGGCCAAACAGCCAACCACCTCATCCTCAGCCCAGAGCCTGAGTCTGCTGCCTTGTCCTGGGCAGACAGACACACCATCACGTGCACACACAGCCTGGCTGCTGGGCTTGGGGAAGTGAGGGGCATAGGGAAGGGGGAAGCACCTTTGCAAGAGTTCAGGCTCTTCTCTTATTCCCTTCTCTGAAGGGAATAAGGAAGAACCCAGCTAATGCCTCAAGTGAGAACATGTGCACATGAACACAGCACAATGGGGATAAAAGGCTGCTCCCAACATTTGTGGGACATAGCAGAGGCTTGAGCTGCTGCTGTCACCCTCACAGCACACAGAAGGGAACTTGAAGGGGAATTCAGTTCCTATCCAGAACTATATAGCTGTACTAGAGCTTATCCTGGAAAATGAGGGGTAACTGAGGGCTTTTGTGGACTGTGCTTCCCTGTCAAGCTGTCAGGAAATTAATCATGCAACTTTCAGCAGCTAGTATCAATACAGAAACTCAGCCAGTGCAAAGGACACAGCAAGACAGAAAATCACAACTATTAGGAGTGCAAGGGCAAACTTTATTCATTGTTTTCCTAACTCGATTTTATGGCCAGACTCCATAATGAGCTATATGACAGAAATCAAGATAAAGACATGCTTTTAAAAGCATGTACATGATTTATTACTTTGATATCTGTCCGCTTTCTTCCTTCTCTTCCTTTTCATATCTTGGACTGAAATAACAGAAGTTCCCACTGCAACGGTATGTAGCTGAGCAAGTCACCTAGATACCGTAGATATGTTTAGACAAACTTCTAGACAAAGTCATAAATAAGCCTTGGATACATCTATTCTCATTTTTGTTCTTCAGCATGTCTCTTTGTTCTCTAAGGACGGAATGAGAGTCTAGTGCCAGTGGAAAGACAAACTGATCTATGATGGGAGCTGACATGCTCCAAAATACTATTTTGGCCTTTAGAGAAGACAAAAGGGGAAAACAAGTATGTGGAGTTGTTAGGGGAAGGGATTCTGTTTGGTTTTATGCACTGCTTTTCCAAATCCCCTCCTAAGCCCTCTTCCAAATAAAAACCCTAGCCAAAGGTCAAGATAGCGTTATGACCATTTTGTTGTCAGATGTGTATTTTAATACCTCATACTTTTAAGTATCACAAAGCTATAGGGACTTCTGAACGATGCTCTCTTTACTTGATATTTCTCTACCTGCAAATGTAATAGCAACATAGACTTCAAATACCACTGAATATGTGACTTTAAAAAAATGGGGTCATGAGAAGGGTTTTCTTGGATCTCCTTCTACCGCTCTGGACATGCAGAGCCTTTTGCTGCTGCTTTCATATTTTCATCAACTCCAATTTAAAGATTCAAGCTTGACCTCTTTTGTGTTCCTACTGTAGGACTCTTTCTGAATCTCACTTCTTTGAGTATTAGAAAACTATATCCTATCTCCAGCAGAGAGGCATTTGCAAAAAATTCACACATCTCCCCCTCTCATGCAGCAGGTAACAGCAAAAGACCCTAGAAAAATATAAAATGAAGCAAGTGCAATAATTTTCTGTACAATCTTTAGTAAGTCAAACTCAAGGAGCTCATTAGCTGATACTTACGGAGGTGTCACTCCTTTTGGGAGGCCTAATGCATTGACAGAAATGGGTGGTGGCTGGGATGGCAGCATGGAGCTGAGAAAAGCTGCTGGAGACTGTCCGGAATTAGGAAATCTGGGAGTTGGAGACAGGCTGTGGGAAGGTGAAGAAACTGAAGGAAGAGGAGGGGGTGGAGGAGGTGGAAGTGGAAAGGAATCACACACCGGGTATGTCGTAGTTGGACTAAAGACAGGTGGAGGTGGGGGCGGAGGGGATGGAGAAGAAGGAGACCAGGCATACTCCCCTTCTGGAGCAAACTGCTGAGAGAAAGGGGGAACAGGCACTCTCCCAAACTGTTTCTGAGAAGCAGTTGGAGACATAGGAGAAGGAAGGCTGGATGTAGATGATCCTGAAGACGGAGTCACATAACCTGAAGCAGGGCTGATGTTCTGAGCAGCAATGAACTGCTTAGGTCGAGCATAGTTGAAGGAGCTGGAAGACTGCATTGTTGGGGAAGTATGAGAGTTAAGAATACTCATTGGCACAGGAGAAGTGACAGAATGGCTGGACTCAAGCTCCTGGAAGGAGGGGGGAGGAGGAAAGGAAGGAGAAGAGGGAGGGTGCTGATGATGATCAGCTTGCTGTTGGTGACGATACCACTGGCCACTTTCTTGCTCCAGACGAATTTGGTTCTGCAGCTGCTGTATCTTTATAGGGTCCCTGTAGGAAGGAAAAATAGAGAAAAAGATGATCAGACATGCAGTGCTGGTCGGGGAGGAGGTAAAAGTTCTACTGAGCAATAGTCTAGGAGAGTCAGAAGGCAGGGAAAGTTCAAAACGTTTTTATATCTTGAATAGCCCTATTTCTTCAGAGCTAAAACATTGCTACGAAAGTCCATTTTTTGAACTCAAGAAGGGGAAAAAAATTATATTAATAGTAGAAGTTAATAGAACCTTCAATTCTTAAAAAAGGTAAACAATAAGACAATTTGAAGACAGTTAGGATATTGTGAAGGAACAAGCCACATAATAGAGTTAATAGTAAAAATGTTGGAAGTTCTTAACAAGGTTTCTTTTAATTTCTTGTCTATTTCATTTGATGGCCCTGTTTCAATAATAAGCCTCAGATATTTACCCAGTGACAATTTCAGCATCGATTTCTGCTGCCACCTGTTCAGGCTGATTAGACAGACCTAATTACTGCTATACTTTTAATGGGATACTTGGAAGCAAGGGACCAACTCCTGTGTTAGAACCTTCCAAGCATCTGTAGATGAGCAAAGATGACTTCCAAGAAACATTTGTAACTTAAGCAAATGGTGAATTGAGCTTCTCCATGTCTTTAAAAGTCCCACTTTTCTTTCCAGGCTTTATTCTTAACTGTCGGTTCCGAGACCTGTCTTAGTAGATACTGAATACAGTTCTAAGGAATTGCTAACTGCAGTACTATCAGCTCAAATAGAAACGGGAATTTTCTTTCAGAAATGAAGACATTCACTAGCAGAACAATAAAGACTAAAAAACCAATATGCAGGAGCACTCAAAACTGCTAATTAAGGGGAAAAAAAAAAAAAA